CGGCCCCACACAACAAAGATTATCTGGCCCAAAATGTCAACTGTGCCAAAGTTGAGAAAACATTACAGAGAGAAATCACTGGAGGTTCCTGAGCAGGGAATAGAAAGCCTTACATTGAAGTTTAGGAAGTCTCATATCTATCATTTCTCCAATATACCCAAAATTCCACAGCAAAAGGGACTTGCCAATTCTATTATGTATACATCATGTTATTTAGTCATTCAGCAAACATTAATTGAGGGTCTAGCTTGTTTTCTAGGCCTAGTAGAAAGTGTCCCTGATTTTAAGGGACAATATGTCAATGCCCGATTGTGTATTATCTACTAACGTGTTATTGGTGCTGCTAACAGAGGTAAGCATAGAGAAGACACATATCTCTGTGTCTTCCTGAAGTTCCCTTTTCACTCTTCTCTGCCTTAGCAAATCCTTTTCCTGCTTTAAATGCCAATTCTATTGCCAGTGCCCCATGTGAAATAGATTAATAAGTCAGCAATCTCAATTTTCCCAGCCTTTCCTCTGGATTCCCAATATACTCTGCATAATGCCCCGTTAGTGCTCAGAGAAACCCCTTCACAGTCCTATGAAATATCTACTTTTCTGTCCCTTCCACTGGCCTTTCTGTTCCTCCAGGCAAGAGACCTGTTGAATAATTTTGTATGCTGAGTACTTAGTACAGTACCTGTTACAACTCAATAATGGTTTTTGATTGATTGAACAAATTAATGAAGAATGAATTCATACGGGGAAGAAAGTGGAATAGAGCCCAAATGAGGAATATGATGTAACATTCTAGGTGTGAGGGACTGAGAGTCTGTGTTAAAATGAGAGCAGAGAAAGCTGACAGAAGAAACATTTCAAGGGCAGAAGCAAAAGAGCATGGTGATGCGCAGAAAGTGAAGACTAATGGTAATTAGAAGGTCACTGGGAAAGTTTTCGTGAAGAAGAAATTTACACTGTAGGGGTTTAAAGAAAAAAAGTAGATGGCAAGGATGGAATAGAAGAAATGGTTATATATTCAAGTAGATTAATGATTTTTTAAAAATAAAGAACAAAAAGAGAAAGAAGCTGGAAGAGACAGGAGAAAAAATTTGTGTATCAAGATGATGGCTGGATGGGGAAACCAGTAATTTCACAAGACCCAAGGAAGGAACTGTCGCGGGAAGGGCCAGGGAGAGGTGTAGATTAAGGAGTCTTAGAGATAAGAGTCAAGCAATAGTACAAGATCCTACAGACGGTATGAAAAACGGGTTTAGGCTGGCTTCTTTTGAATTCCCTTATATTTAGGGGATACAGCAATTTCTTTATAAAAGAAGGTTCTGAAAAGCATTTTTATATTGTGTGCGCCTATACACACCTTTCTTTTTTTTTGTAGTAATACCTAACACTTATATCGCACTTACTTGGAGACAAATACTGCTCTAAGTGCTTTACACGTATTAAGTCTTTTAAGCCTTACAATAATCTATGAGGTGAATACTAGTAGCATTCCAATTTCACGGAAGCACAGAGAGGTGAAATAATATGGCTGCAGGGTTGGTAGGGGGTACACAATTTAGTTGCTTAAACTTATAATTGGACACTGGCCGACTGATTTCAGAAGTCTTTCTTACCCAATCGTTTTACAAACTCTCAAGCAGAATTTACCAATGAAATAGCAATCAGTGAGTTAGATTTGATGGGGAACTCCTTAATTCTTGTTTCCAAAAACTAAATAGCCCTAATTTAAATTTTAAGTTTACTCTTTTATTTCGTACAGAAAAGCTACAAATGAGGGTTTTCTGTTCTATTAATAAACCCTGTCATTTTCCTGCTTTTTTATTTTGCTAGTATGGAATTAAAATTTCCTCAAAGGGCAGGAAAAAACAGGCACTTATAAAGCTAAGTGTATATTTAACTCTTCCTAACATCTCCAAGTCTATTTTTAACTTGGAAAATGGCAAACTCAAAATGCCATTTTGAATTTTAATCTTAAATTGAATCATGGACTTAGCATAATTTAGCTGTTTATTGTCATAAATTACTATTTGTCCCCTGATTAACACAACAATATCCAATTCTACTATTTTCTGTAATTTTAACCATAAAGCAAAAATAAGGCTTCTCCTGTCCCCACCCCTAATATACTTGGTGTAGCTATATTAATTTTCTTCCTTTTATTTATTTGCCAAAATATGTAATTAAGCAGAAATTAAGGGTCATAAGCAGTTTCAATTGTAAAATGTCAGGCACCTAAAAGGTTGTGTTAATCATCACTCTTTCTATAATAATTTCTTCCCTTACATTCAATCATTATTAACAATTCTGCTCCATGAGAACCACTGCCAAGACTATAAGATAAGAAAGAGTTCACTAGCTGCTTTCAACCATATTCCTTGGTGACTTCAAACAAAGAAGCTCATTTACATTTTTTGCATTAATTAATGTATTTAGTTATAGCTCTAAGTCAGATATTTTCAAATGGCTTTTAATAATAGAATGCTCTTTTCAAATGGAATCTTCCATGGGAATCTAACCATGAAAAACAAATAAAATATTTTACTAGGATACATTTATTTTATAGGTTCAAATTTATACTTTTTCTTATTGTAAATCCAATCAATGATAACTCAACATACTGGCGATAAACCAAATGTTAACATTTGACAAATATGTATTTGGTTGTTCATGTTTCTTTATTAGAGGTTTTAAATTTAAGTAAAATAGTTATGAGCCATCTGAACCGACCCTCTTTTACACAGTTTAAAAATCTGTGTTCCAAATCTAAATCATTAAGCCCAGAAGGTATCATACCTGTGTCCTGTGCTTGCAATGCTGTTCATGTTTCTTTATTAGAGGTTTTAAATTTAAGTAAAATAGTTATGAGCCATCTGAACCGACCCTCTTTTACACAGTTTAAAAATCCGTGTTCCAAATCTAAATCATTAAGCCCAGAAGGTATCATACCTGTGTCCTGTGCTTGCAATGACAATGTTGTCTCCTGCTTTCCACGTTACTGCTTCTTGTAAAATTAAAGTCTTTTCCCCTGCCTTTGCAGTATGAGCCAATCGAGTCCAGATCACAGGAATAGGCAGACCTGGAGCCAACATATGAACTGAATATTTCTTCAGACATGTTTTCCTGTACTGAGAACTTTGTGCATTTTAATCTTTTTTCTGGATTGAGTCAATTTTGGGAAGATTCATTTTACCTTCCTTAGCATTTTATATATTTCTACATATTTCTCAAAAAAGAAATATGTAGAATTCTTACTTTATAAAACTAACAGTTAAGTTTGTAATAGGATGTATAGTTTTATAAAATTTAAAAACATACTCCTGCAATGATAAACTTTATGACAATCCTCTTTACAGGTACATACTATAAATGTGGTATGATAATATTGACAAAATGGGCAGAGGTGTATTGTCTTTGTCATTATTGATAGGAATTACTTAAATTGATAATCTAAAGACAAATAAAATCTGTAAATTTCTAAGAAATTATATAGTTAGCACAATGTAGGACATTTATGATCACAGAATATCATGTTTATGGTATTATAAATTTATAAAAAAGATAGATTACTGCAATATAGAAGACTTCAATATAAGAAGAATTCACATCATGCTTCTTTTAAATAATAAGCTACCCTGATACTGCAAACATGATGAATATCACTTTTACTTACTGTCAATTTTCTAGGATATACTTATAAAAAAGTACAACTATAAATTTATTGTTGTATTTTAGATAGAGGTCATTTTCAGATACAAATATAAGAAATTACAACCTTCTCCTTCCAGACTTAGTACCTTTTCATATAGAATGAAGCAAACAGTCACTACATAGTGTGGCACACTTCCCCAAGCGTGACCTTAGTTTTGAGTCTCAATAGTATGTCGGGGCCTGCCTGGCTTGGATAAGGGGAGGAAAGAGGTAAAGAGGGGTAAAACGAGGATATTGAAAGACATGAGAAGTCTAGCAAGTTTTCACGTAGAGGGTATCAGGACGATTATCCCTGATTTCCCGGCTAGTCCTTCCTCTACCAACTCCCTGAGCCTTTCTGGACACTGTACCATGCAGATCCAGGATTCCCTCCCGCACAGCCAGGGTTTTGGCACCATATATAGGAAGCTCAGGAGAACGCAGATGCCCATGCAAGGTAATGACAGCCTTGTGCCGAAATGGAGATGCTTCTGTCCCAATCTGCAAGAGATTTCACAAGCATCATTCAGAAAACTAAAACTCAGTATCCACAATTCTAAAGACACAAAAGTAATTCTTTCCCTTTCTCTCCACACTTTAAAAAATTAATTGATCAGTTGTTCGTATCTTTCTTCCAAAAAATAAACCTTTAATTTTCTAGTCAGCCAAATACACTAAGCCAAATCTTTGGATTGACTTTAGCCACATTCCGGAGGTAACTTTTTTTTTCTGTTCTATTATAAATTCTTTTCTATGAGAATACTCTATTATCTTCCCATTAAAAGCACAAGAATACTCTTAGAAACTTTCCCCCAAAGGATTTTATACTTAAAACAGTTACCTAAACAAAGATAAACTTAGGAGAGATTGGTATAATTAACTATCCACTCAATACACAGTATTTCAAAAGAAATGGAGAGAGGTTAGAAAGGAATATATAGCATGTTCTCTTATATACCTGAAGAATCCCTCCATCTGTAATTAGAATATTTTCTGCCTGGAGTTCAATGTCAACTTCATCAAATATTAGAGTTCCACCTATGAACCACACAATTTTGAAATATATAACAAGGAAAAGTATCATTAAAAGTTATCTAATATCTTACAAATTAAAATTCAATTTTCATCCGTATCCTGCTATTGCTATGCATGTAACTTCACTTCAGCTCTTTTGCAACATAAAAGTTTAAAAACTTCAGACAAGACCCCGGGAGTTGACAGAAAATCATATCTCAGGGTATATTATTTTACCTTAACAATTTGTTGTTTGAAGTGCTATTCAATAGCATAGCCATACAAATTTGTTCTACAAACACAGGGCATCAAAATATAAATTGAGGACAAAAAAAATTTACAGCCAAAGAAAAGCATGTTTATAGAAACTGTTATAATGCCAACATTAGCTCTGTACTTTTACCCACTAATTTGCACTAGCAACAGCTACAGTCTGATTAGCATTATGAAAGAATGTACTAAAATACATTTTTTATAAAACTGATATAAATTTGTAGACAGTAGAAATTTACTAGTCCAAATGTCCAATATTTAATAACTTTAAATAACTGAAACATTGCTATTATCTCAGAAGTTAAAAAATACTAACAATGCAGAAGTCTTTCAGTAGCTAAAACCATTATAATAAAGTTTATGCACTAAAGCCCCAAGCTCATTATTCTTGCCAAGTAATGTTTCTTTTCATGCCATTGTAATAGTTGTGTTATTTAGTTTTCTATGGCGAAAACAGAATGTCAAGGACCAGAGAGAATCCCAGGTAACAACCAAAAGCCAGATCACAGGCAAAGGTGAGAATCAAAACCTGGCTTCCAAGAGCAATCATATAGTATAGAATTTGACAAATCTTTATGATTTTAAAACCCCTAGGACCCACTATATCAGTCTTTCTCAAAGTGGAAAATACCTTTTACGGTTGTGATCAAATAAATGCAAGTGCACATACCCTCACTACTATTCGAACAAAGGTTTCATTAAACAACTTTAGACTTTGAAAGATACTTGCTCATATGCATGCAATACACTAACTTTTCTAGTCTATTTCATTTGAAAAAAGTGCTGGTTGCAATACACTAAATAATATAACCACAATTGATTGTAATACTCAATTTAGAAAATTCACTTCTGCACTCTGTATTCAATACATGATACAACTGTGGATGTTCATAGTAATGAATTTTGATTAAATCGACCTCAAGTAATATTCCATAGGCAGAGTCTAATTAACAGATTTTCAGAAATTTACCCTGAATAAGCAACATTTTCAGAACAGGGGTACTTTGATCCAGCAGAATTGTCTGTCCTTTTGTAATAACAACAAGTGACCCTTCTTCTGGGGGAGATTTTCCTCCCCATGAGAAGCTGGAGGACCAAACATCAACATAAAGGAAGTCAGCGTTATCCTGTAATAGAGCATGAGAGACTATTAAATCTATAGGTTTTATCAGAATTTTTTATTCACTTAATAAAAGATCTAAAACAATCAACATTTACTACTAATAAAATATAACCTGCTTTAAATACGTTATTTGAGAGCTGCCTTGATTTATTTCACAATAATAAAAAGTAAAAAGTACCAAATACCCCTATCAGAATTTTTTATTCACTTAATAAAAGATCTAAAACAATCAACATTTACTACTAATAAAATATAACCTGCTTTAAATACATTATTTGAGAGCTGCCTTGATTTATTTCACAATAATAAAAAGTAAAAAGTACCAAATACCC